GTATATGTATATGTATATACATATACATGTATATTTATATACATATATATATACAAATATATATGTATATATGTATATGTATATATATATATATATATATATATATATATGTATATATATATATACATATATATATATATATACACATATACGTATAGAAGAAGACATTTGAACTCCTTTATCCAATCCTATAGATCTACAAGAATTTAAGAATATACGATCTTCCTAGGTAAAACACTATCTTAAATGTGGATTTAAGTTTTGTGGGTTTTTGCACATCAATCTTTACACGACGATGAATACCTTTTTGAAAATTTTGAGATTTTTTTTATTTTCTGTTCTTCCACTACGCATGTGATGTCGCCCCGAGATGCTCCCATAGTGATATCAGATTCAGGTTGTTCATGCGAAAGATTAGTTTTAAACTATGTGTTGTCACGGACAAACTACGAAACATGATGTTTGATGTAATGCTTATGTATGTCCGTGTCTTTTGGTATGTTCATGCTTTGCAAAGCATGTAGAGGGACACGACCGAAGGCTTAATAACCCATTTTAGTTGGGTTTGGTGGCCGTTTTAGGCTTGTAAATAAAGGTTGTGTCATGTGAACACTAGTGAGAGATTTTCGATCTGTAATGGATCATTTTGCCCCTTTGTTGTGCAACTGTTCAGAGCTTGCAAAGTCTGTTTGTAATTTGCATTGTCTATGAAGTGTTTCCTGGAATGTTTACTTGTGGATCTTGAGTGAGGCATTTTCTCTAACCCGTTTTCTCTTTTGTAGGTCATAAGAGACCGTGGGAGGTTTCCGGGAGGCTGACCTTTGCGGACACGCAAGGGTGCCGCACGACTTAGGCAAAACCAACTAAGTCCATGACAGATAGTATCAGAGCGAGACAAGCACTCATAGAAACACTTGACATGTAAATGTGGGGGACCTAGCGGGGCTGCGTTGAGGGCAGTCGGCACGCGCGCGACCGTTTGGGGGAAAACGGGCATGGAGATATAGGGAAAAGGAGTCGCTCAGAGGAGCGGGCATCTGAGAGTGACATTCAGAGGAATGGCCAACCCTTCGCGCAAGAGGCACCACGAGGACAAGCAAGCTTGGAAAAATACGAAACGCATAAAGGTTGGGATGGCTGAGTTCGAGCTACGACTCGACGTTGACAACCATACTTGATGGTGCTCAAGGCAAGCGAGACGCTTGGTAAAGGATGAGACCATGCAAAGTGGAATGAGTTGCTCAACGATCGAAAAGAGTTATGCAAAGCTCACAAAGGTGAGGGAAATTGCTAACTCGAAGAATTTGGTACTCATGCAAGGGCTTGTATACGGATGATGGAATGTTCGTGGCCATCCTAAGGCGACCGAAACTCGGTGCCATGGAGCATTGAAACTTTCTCTTTGGCATGTGAAGGATACGTCCGTAGAAGGCTGAAGTGTGCAGCAAATTCAGCATGTTGCTAGGCCTTGAGTGGTGCAGCGGGGGCTGTATTGACATGGAGTCACAATCTAGCAAGTGCGTTTGTAGGAGGCATAACAATGCATAGTTTGTTCAGCAAATCGGAGTAGTCCAAGGGGATGGTGGTCTTCGAAACGAAGAGAGATGTTGCTCCAATGGGATAGATATCCAGGAGGGATAAGTCCTGGCTCTCCAGAGGGAGAATCATATACGACGGACCGCACATGTTGAGGAGTACCTCAAAACATAACAACTCCATGAAGCTCAATGGACCGAGCGAGCGACAAGGAGTCATCGCATGATCTCGCTTGAGAGAATGTATTGGTGGATGCATTGCAAGATCAAGTGGGAGAGCAACCCAAAGCAATACAAATGAAGGCACACTTGGAGTCGATATGAAGATCAGACTCAAAGGAGGGCTGACCCGTGGAATGGTGGGCGCTAGGGCCATCATTAATTCAATGCAAAACGAGGAGCGGAGCAACTTGGGTATAACTTGGTGAAGTACCCAAGCCGTATGAAGTGAGCCGGCATAGAAGATGGAACATGGAGCGGAGGCACAGAGCTTTCCTTGGACAGAGGTCAAGGACATGAACTCTTGCAGAGGCAAGAGCAGGATCATGTTGTTCCATGGGTCCTTCATTCTGATGGAGCGGACTCATCTTGCATAGTGCCAAAGACGAAGGGAGATTCTGGGCACATGCACCTTTTCTTGGAGAAGCATTTTACGGAGGAATTAAGGCGACTCAACTTGCTGAGGTGAAGTTGGGTTCAGAAGGCCTTCGCACGGGGCAAGAGGACGCGGAGGCAGGTACTCTTAAAGAATATGCCACAGTGTTGCCATTCAAGTTGCTTGAAGGAAGCGGTGCACAGCGGAGATTGTGCTGGTAGGGGCAGAGGCCCAGGATCCAGACAATGGTGCACTAATTACAGCGAAGTCGGAGGACTTCGGGAGCTACTAGGCGACGGACTGTCCTAGAGTGGTGCTTCATTTAGGTGTGACCCAAGAGTGGGTGGATGAAGGTCGATTGCCAAAGGAGCGAACAAAATTGAAGGTGAAAGAGACCCTGCGATGTATTGATAGAGGCCACACATGGAGGGTTCACAATTCAAGTTCATGCCACAAGGATCAGAATGCAATGGAGATGTCACCAGGAGGCGACATGGTATGGCGGATCATGTTGGAACAGTTCGTGGCAATGCGATACATACGAATCTAGTCCCGTGAGGGAATAGATCATACGGAGGTATGATCGGGAGCTACTGGGAGCTCCACTTCGGTGAACAACACAATGACAAGAAGAGCTATGGATTCAAGGAGTGAAGGCCATGGTACCGCACAGGCGGGTCTTCCGTGCGTGCATCGAATTTTGCATTGGATGAAAGCCTTGGTCATCAGCATATGGGGGCTGTGTACTACCAAGGGAAGAAGTTCGAATGCAAGTACCAGTGAGTCCCATGGGAGGGACTTGATCATGTAGAGGTATGATCGAAGAAGCTGGAGAGTTGGACTGCTTCAGAGCCCATATTCACTTAAGGGAGCTCGGCAAGTCAGAGGACAATGTCGAGTAAGTGAACGTTGCTACCAAGGAAGCTAAGGAGAATAGAATCGGTGCAAATCCTACAACGTGATGGCAGAGGTCATGCATGGGAGTTGCAGTCTGTCTTTCCATCGACCAAAGGGATCTGCTCAAAGAACACAGAGGTGTTGAAGCAAGGGGTCGAAAGGGGCGAGGAAGCGACGACGAGTCCAGAGGGACTTAGCTACCCAAAATCAAGCATAAGTTAGAATGGAAGTGAACTTGGAGGAGTGCCACAAAGACATATCTACTGATTATGAAGAAAAGGGATGCAGATGCGAGGTGACGGATAGTAGGGCCATGGGCATGGCAGCGCCATGGTACCATAAAGGCGGTACTTCCGTGAAAGTCATTGATCCCTTGCTCTCATAGAGGGAGAGCGCTTGGTCGTGAAAGGGGCCGAGGAGGTGGAGCATGCAGAGGCAATCTCCAAGTACCGTGACAAGGCTGAAGGGCAGAGGCCAAGGAACTTCGTAAGACCGGTGTCAACGAGCTTCACATCAAGATAGTCGAAAGGGAAGGACTTTGGGTCATGCAAGAGTGCACGGCCAAGGAACGAAGCAGGCAGTACGTGGTGTTGTACCTTTGCTACTCAGTGGAGTAGGCGACAGGGTTGATGGAGAAGACGGTACAATCTCAGAGGCGACTAAATCTATTAGAGAATTACTCCAAGTTGGGGTGAAAACTTTCGGCATTCCAGAAGTTCGATGGCATTGAGAAGGTGAATCACAGTAGCTAGCTCAATGCAAGGAGTGCAAATACTTCAAGTGCTTCAAAAGTGTGAGCAAAGAGCAAGCGAAGGCCAGTAACTAGCTCGATGCATGGAGTACAACCTCGAGGAGGTAGGCGAAGTCAAGTAACCTTTGCCTTCTCAACTCTTAAGAGAATGGGCAAAACCGAGTAACCCAATTCTCTTATCTATCCAGCAGAAGAGCTCTGCATGGTTCAAAGACCCTTCAAAGATAATGAAAGATAGTAGTTGTCAAATCCTCACCAATGGTGATCAATACTACTGAGAGTAGATTGTCTGCTTCATTTCCCAACAAAATGCAAATCGAAAGAGGAAGTGATGCGAACCTACTTGGAAGGGATAACTAAGTGAAAGAAGAGTCGATGAGCAAATTTTGTGGAGGA